CAGAGATACATTTATAAGCAAATCTTTCTCCACAAATCTCTGTTCAGTCAACAAAAATCTAACAAGGTAGGAGAATGTAATAACAAGCAGGATGGAAAATCATATGAAGATTATTAAAAGCCAGCAATACAAGTAAATCGTCTAACCTCTTCTGGAGCAGTAAGTGCTACAGAGAAAGATCTGCCACAGCAAACCATCTTCCAGCAGAAGGAAAGTTCAAAAAAGAACCACAAGCACAGTCTTAACACTTAGAGGAAGATGGAGTAGAAAGGTCCACCTCTTTCACTGGACAAAAAATAAGAACAAAAGCAGAGAAGAATAGGAAAGAAAAAACAGTAATACTAACGTATTAATCAGGTTTATTCTTCCTATTTCACAGCACAAGAACTAAGGAACATAAAAAAAAGGTGATGGGAAATTATAAATTAATTAAAGGAATTGTCATGTATTGAACAATTATATTACAGAATTCCTTGGCACAAAGACCCAGGAGGACATAGAGCATTTCCAAAAATATGACGCTAAAACATTTTGGAAAGTATGCCATGTCCTTCATAGGATAAGTCTTTAAATACGTCAAAAACCTGCACACAGATTACACATATTATTTCACCCTTCCCATCCTGCCCCCAATATCACCATGTCATTCCTAACTCAGAAATGCTTAGAGGAGACCTCTGAGAAAGCAGGAAATCAGACTAAGTCTCCATATCATACAGTTTAAAGACAATCCTTACATCTCCAGGGTCTGACTTTTTCTTTCCCACTTCCCCCAAGAGGTTGCTACTTAAATCATTTAAGGTTGCAACTCATGTAAAACTGTGTTTATAAATATGCAACTAATTTCATAATTAATATTCACAAACATTTCCATCTGCCACAGTGAAAATCAAATTATACTTCCTCAGCCATATAAATATTATCTTTATGAGCTGTAAGTAAACATTTAGAATTCAGTATGAGGGCCAGAGGCATCAACTCTTAACCACACGGGCAATCCCTCACGTACACTCAACTTTTCAAAAGCATTCAAAACCAAACACACAGTGCAGTTCTGTAAAAACATGTATAGAATCACAGAATAGTTAGGGGTGGAAAGGACCTTAAGTTCAACTAGTTCCAACCCCCCTGCCATGGGCAGGGACACTTCACACTAAACCATGTCACCAAAGGTTCTGTCCAACCTAGCCTTGAACACTGCCAGGGATGGAGCATTCACAACTTCCTTGGGCAACCCATTCCAGTGCCTCACCACCCTAACAGGAAAGAATTTCCGCATATCCAATGTAAACTTCCCGTGTTTAAGTTTTAACCTGTTACCACTTGTCCTGTCACTACAGTCCCTAATGAAAAGTTCATCCCCAGTATCCCTATAGCCCCCCTTCAGATACTATGAGGTCTCCACACAGCCTTCTCCAGGCTCAACAGCCCCAACTTTCTCAGATGATCTTCATATGGGAGGTGCTCCAGTCCCCTGATCATCCTCGTGGCCCTCCTCTGGACTTCCTCCAACAGATCCATGTCCTTTTTATGTTGAGGACACCAGAACTGCACACAATACTCCAAGTGAGGTCTCACAGGAGCAGAATAAAGGGGCAGGATCACCTCCTTTGACCTGCTGGTCACACTCCTTTTGATGCAGCCCAGGCTACGGTTGGTTTTCTGGGGTGTAAGCATATGCTGCCAGCTCATGCTCATTTTCTCATTCACCAACACCTGCAAGTCCTTCTCTACAGGGCTGCTCTGAATCTCTTCTCTGCCCAATCTGTAGCTGTGCCTGGGACTGCTTCGACCCAGGTGCAGGACCTTGCACTTGTCATGGTTAAACTTCATAAGGCTGGCATCAGCCCACCTCACAAGCATGTCAAGGTCCCCCTGGATGACATTCTTTCCCTCCAGCGTATCAACCGAACCACACAGCTTGGTGTCATCGGCAAACTTGCTAAGGGCGCACTCAATTTCACTGCCCACGTCACTGACAAAGATGTTTAATAAGACCGGTCCCAACACTGATCCCTGAGGGACACCACTCGTTACTGGTCTCCAGCTAACACTGAGCTATTGACCACAATTCTTTGCATGCTGCCATCCAGCCAGTTCTTTACTCACCGAGTGGTCCACCTACCAAACTGATGTCTGTCCAATTTAGAGACAAGGAAGTCATGTGGGACAGTGTTGAACATTTTGTAGAAGTCCAGCTAGATAATGTCAACTGCTCTACCCCTGTCCATCAGTTCCGTAGCCCCATCATAGAAGGCCATCAAATTGGTCAGGCAGGAATTCCCCTTAGTGAAGCCATGCTGGCTGTCAGCAAGCACCTTGTTGTTTTTCATGTGCCTTAGCATGCCTTTCAGGAGAATCTGCTCTAAGGTTTTGCCAGGCACAGAGGTGAGTCTCACTTGTCTGTAATTCCCAGGGTCATCCATTTTCCCCTTCTTGAAAATGGGGGTTATATTTCCCTTTTTCCAGTTGTTGGGAACTTCACATGACTGCCATGATTTTTCAAATATGATGGACAGTGGCTTGGCAACTTCATTTCTCAGCTCCTTCAGGAATTTCATCAGGTCCCATGGACTTGTGCATGTTCAGGTTCTTAAGATAGTCTCGAACCAGATCCTCTCCTACAGTGGGCCCAAGGTCTTCATTCTCACAGTCCCTGTGTCTGCCTTCCAAGACTTGGATGGTGTGGTCAGAGCATCTGCCAGTGAAGACTGAGATAAAGAAGTCATTAGGAACCTCAGCTTTCTCCAAATCCAGGGTAGCCAGCTCTCCTGATAGCTTCCAGAGGGGGCCTAAACTGCTCCTAATCTGTCTTTTATTTGCAATGCAATTATAGAATCCTTTCCTGTTACCTTTCACATCCCTGGCCAAGTTTAATTCTAACAGAGCCTTAACTTTCCTAACCTGGTTGCTAGCTTCATGGACAACATCCTTGTATTTTTCCCAGGCTGCCTGTCCTTGCTTCCACCCTTTATAAGCCTCTTTTTTCTTCCAAAGTTTCCTCAGCAGCTCCTTATCCATCCAAGGAGGTCTCCTGGCCCTCCTGCTGCACTTCCTTCTAGTCGGGATGCAACACTCCTGAGCTTGAAGCAGGTGATCCTTGAATATGAACCAACAGTCTTGGGCCCCCCTGCCCTCTAGGGCTTTTTCCCATGGAACCTTACTAAGCAGGTTCATGAAGAGGCCAAAGTCTGCTCTCTTGAAGTCCAGGCAGTGAGCTTGCTGCATGCTCTTCTCACTGTCCTGAGGATCTCAACCATCTCATGATCACTACAACCAAGGTCACATTTCCAACCAGCCCTTCCCTGTTGGTGAGCACGAGGTCAAGCACCTCTCCTTGTTGGCTCCTTTATTAGTTGCAGAAGAATGTTATATACTATAGCAAGGTGTCAAGTTAATAGAGACAACACTGCAAGATGAAAGATGGTAGAATACCTGACCCTCTGTGCTTTCCTTAAGCCAAGCTCTTCATTTAAAATATTCTTTGTTACATAAAAAAGGTCTATTTAGCAAGAAAACTGAATAAGATTCCATTAGGAACAGACCAGTTACATAAATAATTAGACAGACTGAAAATACCATATACATAATTTCTTTTAACTTTCCTTTTAGCTGTTGTGAAACTGAAAGAAAAAGAACATTTCCCAAATACTTGTGTTCATACACATATAATTTGAAAATATTATGTCTAGTTGAAAGATCCATAGGATTCTTGGTCACTTTTGAGATGTTTATTATAAAAAACAATAAACATTTCAACAACAAATGCATGCTTTTCAATTTGATCAGGTCTTAGATATACAGCAACTGCAACACCCACACTCAAGGTGAAACAGCGAGTCTAAGGAAGGCAAGGAGTTCTTGAAATACAAGCACGTATTTTACATTTTACAGATTTTACTTTAAATAATCCACAGAAATGAGAAAGTGAAAGCAAGATGAAATGTGTCACGAGATGCCAGGACTACAAAATGGATCTTGTGATTTGTGGGACTCCCCAGATAAGCACCCATCTTGTCAAGATTAAAAACCCCACTTCTGAAACAACCCATTCACGTGTCATACCAGCATTAGATGGTACAGAAGCCAAATCAAGGACCAAAGGGTCAAACGTCCACCATGACTAAGCTTAAACTGCTTTTTCAGAGCATCCCCAACAAGTACCATGAAAGCGAACACCACCATGTATGTATACAAGGCAAGGACAAAAAAACACCACAGATCACATAAACCCAACCCAGAAATATTTACAATTGAGGGGCAATAAAAAAACAACTTTAAAACGACCTCAGTCACTAACCCTGGGCACGCCGCTTTACCCACCAGAGGGGTAAAGAAGAGCACTGACACCTTGACACTTTCGACCCCGCGCCCTCTGCACGCCCTGCCAAGCGCACCAAGCGCTTTGAACAGAGGGGCGGTAACGAAATAAGGAGGTGCTGAAGACATCACCCAGGCAGCGACCCCTGGGAACCGCAAGCAGCAGGCGTCCCCTCCCCTCCCGCAGCGTGGTCCCAGGTGGCCCACCCCACTGAGGCATCAGGGCAGGCGGCGCGGGCGGACACGCCGACGGGGACCAAGGTGAGGCAAGACAGCCCAAGCCACCCCCTTTCGCCGAAGCGCCCGCAGCTGCCGCGCCGGCAATGGCGCGGACAGGAAAGGGCGGTTCTGCATCCGGGCTCGCTCACTCACCTATCATGGCGGCGATGGCGGGGGAAGCCGGCAGGGTGTGGAAGGAGAGGCGCGCGCGCACCCTCACGTACATATACGTACGCCGCGCGCGTGCACACGCACCCTTGCCGGCCGCGCGAGCGGCGCGGGGGGGGAGGGACACAGCAGGCGGCATGCGCACAAGACCCAGGGCCCCCTGGGTAACGTAGTTCTCGGTTCTTCACACCGCCAGTTTCTCCTCACGTCACCACTTCTCCCGCCCACCCCCCCCGGGTTAATGACTTCGTGTTAACTGCTGTCGAGTTGCCCCGCTTTTTGAGTGCACCTGCTGGTGGGCAGCGCGGGGGGAGCGTTGCCATTGGGGTACCTCTGGTTAACCCCGTACTTCCCCACGCGCGCGTGGCCCCCGCCGGCAGAGGCGGCGGGTTGTTGACGCGTTGCCTAGTGACGGTCGCGACGCCGGGGACGCGTGCTAGCGCCGGTGGTAGCCGGTGGCCGGTGACAGCCGCCGCCCGACCCCGGTGCGGGAACAGCGGCAGTGAGGTGAGGTGGGGTGAGGGTGAGGCGGGTCGGGATGAGCAGGTGGAGGTAGAGGGTTGGGAATGGGCGAGTGGCGGTGCCGAAGGGGACTTTAGGGACAGGGAAAGAGCCTGGAAGGGGGTTGTAGGAGGGTGTCGCTGCCTGGCAGGGGAACAGAGGCAGTTCTACTGCTTTTTCTAACTTAGTGGGTCCGCGCCGTTGATGTTTGTTTCTTTGCTTTCCAGTCTGCGTTTTCCATCTTGCCGTGGTGCAGGCAGGTGGGGAAATGGTAGAGGAGAAAGAGGGCTCGGGCCCTTCAAACCCTGCAGGTGGCAGGAGCCCTCAGCTGCAGGAGCCCCTGGGGCATGTGAAGAAAAACAAGCAGCAGGTCTCCGAGGGATTCACGATTAAAGCCATGATGAAAAACACCGTGGTATGTTTGCTGCTAGCGTAGAAGTGATGTTAATTAATTTGCTGTCATGTGTCCAGGAAGCATAATTGGAGCTGAGGATAAAGCATGTCAGGAAGGTGTGTGAGTTGCTAAAACTTCATCTGGAGTTTGCTGGTTGCTGAATTTGCCTTCAAGCTTTGCAGAAGTATTATTGTAAGGTAACTTTATGCCTGTGGAAATATTGTTGCTTCAACTCCAAGCATATTGATTTGGTACCACAATTCATTTGTGGTGTTTTCTGCTGGCAATGCATGTTCCATTGTATTGACAGCCTGCAGAACTGTGCAAACCTCACATTTATCAAACCTCACTTTTATCAGACCTCACTTTTAGCAAACCTTACTTTTAGCAAACCTCACTTTTAGCTAAATGCTGTCAAATTATACTGTAGTATTATTTGGAAGTGTTTTGATATACTGGCATGCTGTGGTACAAAATTTAATGTGAATGTCACATAGGCTAGCTAAGATCTAGCATATACATTTCTTTTAAAAATAAGCCTAAAAATAATAAAAAGCTTCCACTCAATATAAGAGAACACTAAACTGGAAACAAACTTTAATTCTCGAACTGTTAGTTTAAAGGCAAAGATGAATTGACCCAGCAAGCTTCACTTTCACTAACAGCCCCAACAAATTTAGACGTACATGATTGAAAATACTAGGGTAAAGGCCTTTGAAATTGCTGTATATTGTTTTATTTGGCTACTTTTGTAAGATTTTAGGAATAAAAAAAGTTTCAGCTAGTACAGAATGCAGATATTTGACATGTAAATCTATGAACTAATATGAGCACACCTTATGCTTGAACTCCTCCATTGTATTTTTCTATATTTGGACACAGTTAAAGGTGCAATTGCTTGAAGTAGAAAAAGGAATTTATTTAGATTGCAGTTCCAGATTTTCATCCTTCTGTCCTTCATTTTGGAGTCTACAGTCTGTATGTATTGGAATTAATTCTCAGCCGTTGTTTAAATTCCTCTTTCAAGCTATTGTCAGTACTGTGTGTTGAGAAAGACTTTCTTACCCTTTGCTCTTTTCTAATAAGTCATAGCAAGGTTTTTATCCTAACCATAGAGATAACGTGATTCATTTACATTCTGAAACTTGTGATTTGACATTATATTCATCCACATTCTGTGACTAAAATAACTTTATTTACCTTGTAGCAGTAACAGTTTCTGATCTGATTTTAAGGCATTTTTAAAGCATTGTTTAAAAGAAAAAGGTTTTACCTTTCTATTATATTAGCTCCTTTATTGGCAAAGGCAGTACATTTTGAAGCAAGTAGGTGTCAAATTAAAGGAATGTTTTGATAAACAACTTGGCCAGTAGTATGTCCATCTTGGAGGAACTGCTCCAGTTTAGCAATTCTGTACAACCTATGCATATACTTTAGTGAACACTATGAGTCAATTTAAACTGTCAATGCACTGTCTTCTTCCTGTTTCAGGCTGTTTTTGCTGCCCCTTATTGTGCTCACATTTGTACAATATTAACTGATCAAGAGATGATCCTCCTGAAAAATACTCCAGCCTGTTTAATAGCATCCAACTGCAGCCTTGGGAATTGAGGCAGACAAAGCTGCTGCTACCATGAAGTTCCTCTGCCCTGCCTTCCTCCCCTTCCTAACAGCATGCTTCTGTCTCCCCTTTTGCATCCGTGTTTCTTGCACTACGGAGGAGGCTGTATCAGATCTAACAGCTGTTAACATATGCATGGGGAAGCAGGAATATGTTGTCAGTGCAAGCTGTGTGGGTGGCAGTGTCCCTCTCAGCAACACTGAGGTCTTAATTCATTTAAAATCAATTACAAAACTGAGTTCCAGCAGAGTAATTCTGCAGGCATTTAAGCATTGAAAGGTGTGGTTTTCATCCCTGGACAGTATGAACTTTTGCACTGCTGTGTAGTAAACTGAAGTGGTTAAACCTAGATTAAAAAGAGCTCAGATTTTATTTTTTATTTTTTTTTTTCACGGCAGTAAACTAACAGAAGTTGTGGCTGCTACAGTTCTGCTTGCTTCTGCTGCATATCTGTACCTCCTCCTCTGTGCTAGTGCAGTCACGCAACTGAATTGATGAGGCACTTCAGTTGCATTAGGTCCAAAAATGAAAAGCTTCAGTGCAAGGAGGCTTTTATTTCCCCTCATAAAGTTATGTTCCTTTTCAATTCCATGCTTGTTTTTACTGTAATGATCACATTGGAGTACAATGTAAAAGCCGAATACACAGGAAAAATACTAATGCTTAAGACCATAATGTCTTCTGAAAGCCTGTGTTTCATATTATGTTTTCCAGCTGTGACTTACATGGTTTAATCATACTGCCCTTGTTATATTAAAATACTTTAAAATCAGCCCTCGGTTTTTGCAGATATGGGGAGAAGATGGGGAGAAGTTGGTATTGTTCATGGTTGCAGTGCTAAGGTGATAAGGTTTGCTTGATATGCTCAAGCATGAAGAAATTGTGCTGGTTTGTGTATGAAAATCTGTTGCACACTTGAATCTCTAGTAAGCCTTTTTTTCGTAATTCAGTCAGAATGCTTAAAATAGATAATAAATCATCAGTTAGCCTCAATTTCATGTTTTTGATTGACATTTCAGGATACACTACATAGAAAAATACCTTGGAAGGTTTTAAATTTCATACCTAAAGGAGGTAAACGTAAACTGATTTAAAGCATTGTAATGGTGATGTTTCAAGACTCTTCCACTAACCACTTTTTATGAACTAATGACTAAAATATTCTAACTGGAGACAGTTACAGAGATAATTATCAAATTCTGTCAATTCTTGAATTGGAATGCAACTTTAGACTTTGCAAACTGAAACATATATAAGAGCAAATGGCAGACAATTTTTTTTACATACATGAGAGGAAAGGTCTTAAGTGTTTACATATTTCATACAAGTTAAAATCCTTCGATGGTCTGAGCATGTCCGTATCTTTGTCTGGTATTTCACTAAATGAAGTGGGCCATTTTCAGGTCTTTGGCTGCAAGCATAGGCATTCAGAATAAAAAATTAGCAAATAGCTAATACAAGAGTCTCAGAACAAGATTTTAAGCTGCCAAATTGCTGAGTCAGGAATTATCTAAGGTCAGCATTTCCTACACCTCTAGAACTAGTTGTACAGTTAAATACATTGCAAATGTAAGGTTGACATTATTAATACAACTGAGTAAGCACTTGGGTAGCAGCAACACATACTTAACATCTGAGATCCCTACTGCTGCTAATTCGTATATGGTCTGCTTTTACAAGTTTGCAAGTGAGTACTCGGTGAATTCCCTGAGGAACTGAAGCAGCAGGCCGTGTCTGTAGCTGTCAACCTCTGATGCTGTCGCTTATCTCAGAGTCACCTCTTGTCACTACTATAACTTAAATGACATTGGAAGTTTTAAGTGGGTGAAAGAGACAGGAGAGGTAGCATAGTGGCATTCGCATTAGAGAAATTAGTGGAAGAAAGCTGGGAAAAGAAGAGAGGAATTAAATGTCACTTTCCAGAGTGGGACCTGGATGATCACTAACCCAACATGGGTTTTGCTATGGCTGTGCTCCCCAAACATATGCACTGATATGCTGAAGTCCGTTGTTGCCTTATTACAGGCAGAGAGGGCTGGAGCATGTACCAGAAAAATAAAAGTTTTCTTTCTTTTCCCATTTTATACTTCCAGTTAATATATATGGCTGGTCTATGTTTAACTGAAGTAATCTGGTAAGGCTTTGAAGGGATCAGGAAGGTTTTAGTTTTTTCATGAAATTTTCTTAGCCATTTTAAAATGACAATTGCTGCAAAGCCCAAAAATAGCAAACGATACTGTTGGTACATTGATACAATTTCTAGACAATGCAGTAGAAAAAATACTGTGAAAGACTGAGTGGTTCATCCCAGCAACAGTTGATTCTTTGATATACTTGATGTTCATATAAGCAGTTTGGCATAGTTTTTCATTTTGATAGTGTAGTTACTTTTTTTTTTCCTGGAAAATGTACTACTCTCTTATAACTTCATTTCTTAAATAAAATACATGTCAGGTAAGATGAGGTTATAAAGGTCCAATATGCTGTCACATAGGCTGTGTTGTGGAAGTCTGGTGTTTAATAGTTACGCTCTGACTATGGATACGTTACAAATATTATGCTTATTATAGTTGCACATTTTGGTGTCTGATGTGTGTAAGTACAGGGGATGCATGTAAGTCAAGGACTTGCTCTGGAGAGCAATGCAATTCTAGAGCCAGATAAACCTATATAACTTCAGTCAGGCATCTTACTTGCCAAAATAGTATTCTGGTGCTATAATAAAACCTGTCTGAACTGTGGTAGGATAGCAAACATAATTTAGCTTTTCATATATTTGTGATGGTATTTTTTAATGAACATTTAACAGTTTGTGTGCTTGTGTTTGAAAGCAAAGTTTTTCTTTAAAAAAAAATAGTTACTCTTCATCCATGTTTTCATAGTGTGATGTAAAGATCTTGAGTGAATACAGGTTTGTTTTCAGGTTGATAATAGAAGTGTGTGGTACTGTGTTGTTGAAAGCTAATGTCATTAGCCTGTTTAGGATCCAGACTAGTTGGGGGGGGCCGGGGGAGGGGGTTTTTGTGGGGTTTAGGAGAGAGGGGGATTGTGGTGGAAGACATTTTATTACTTGCCTATAGTAAATAACTGTATCCTGCAGTAAATGCAAAAGTTCTGCACAGTGTGTGACGAAGTTAAAACATATTATAAAATAGACTATAGAAATGACTGTGCAATGAGAACACTTGCATGCCTTGAAGCAAGCATGGCATACTGTTACATTCCTTTGTAACAACCATATGGAGGAAGAATAGCTCTTTAAACTTACATTTTGATGTCTATTTCGTTAGTCATAAGCATAGGCAATACATAATATTCAGCACCAAACCAAAGTTTAGAAGTGTTCTAAATAATACAAGAGCTATGAATTAGTTTACTTATAAGTCTTGTTGCATAATAT